GGGCAGGGCAGGGCAGCTGGTCACGGGGACGGCAGTCACACACCCGCAGGGAAGAGAGAGAGCAGATGAGCACACAGGGCAGGTGAGTGCGGGCAACTCGTCAAGCGAGCAGCCCTAGGAGAAGGGACCTCAGAAGCAAGATTCCGGCCCGAAGGGGACCAGCTGGTAGGAGCGCGCGGTCAGGGTGGAGGCAGAAGGGGAACGCAAAGCTGTCGACGAAGCACTAGAGCATCTGCCAAGACCACCGGCCCTCTCCGGAGGACCCCTGCGTCGGCCCCGCTCTCTCGCTGGCGGGACGAGCCCCGCTTCCTGAAAGCAGTACGGGGCCCCGAGGAGTTACGTGTGCCGTTCCCGGTTCCATGCTGGACACAGCGCTCAGAGCGCGGGCGTCACGCAGCCGCGGTGGCCCGAGGGCGCGCTCTGCGGGGCGCATCCCCACCCACCTACTGCCCGTGCTCTGGGCCAGGCCCTCCCTGGAGAGCCCGGCGGTGGCAGGCAGCAACTCGTTTAGGAACGTGACTGGCCGCTTAGTTACCCCGAAGAGCACGTGCAAAACTTGACAGTTCCCTTCCCCTCTCCTTGGAATGACAAAATCGGGGATGATTTCCTTCTAGGTCTTATTTTAAGAAGAAACAACAAAGAACCCAGCATAAAATGGCTCACACAAATATTTTGCTAGCGGCATTGCTACACACTTTTCTCCCAGGCTGCCCACAGCCCGGCTCAGGCCCCTCTGCCCCAACCACCCGGGTCTGCCGGTGGGAGCAGCCTTCCGGGCCACACGCCTCTGCCGCAGACCCCATCAGCCAGCCGTCCGCGCCCGTCCCCCCGTGAGGGAGCCTCACGGTTTCCAGGGGCGAGCTGTGTGAAAGCTGGCAGGACAGGAGGATCCAGACAAGAGACAGGCTCAGGGGAAGAGGAGGAGGGCATGTCATGGAAGGCTTCGAGGAAGGGCGTGCGGGTCAAACAGCAGCCCCCAGGTGCCAGAGCCCCAGACGCAGAGGTCTGCACGGGGCCTGTGGCGCTGTCAGCTCGCACCGTCCGGGCCGTGCCGGGAAACACCAGCGACTCTATCTCCGTGATTTACCTCAGCTGCCCCGTGGTCAGCATGTCCACTGGCTTTAACAGAGTCCAGGACAGAAATTCTATGTCATGATTACACTAAAAATGCCCCTAAGCTCCAGCAGTCGACCCACAGGCCAGAGGCTGGAACCCAACCGTGACACCAACCTCACGGGCCTCTCTCCCTCACTGCTCCCGAGCACGGAGCTGCCCCCCTGGCGTGGCCTCCACGTTTTCTGTGAGCACCCGCACCGGTTAACCCACAGAGAGCGTGCGGGGGGGACATCTGCCCAAGAGTCCTGTGTTAAGATATGGCAGGGATGGCCCAGTGGCCCAGGAGAGAGGGGGAGTATGGGACTGGGGCAGAGGAGGGGTGAGGGAGAAGATGGAGAAGAACGTAGAAAAGTCCAGCTATGCACACATAGCTTGTTTTTGTTTTCTTTTCCTTTCTCCTTTGTAAAAACTTTAGCTGCTTTTTAAAACAAAAAGCCTCAAACTAAAATGGCCCTGCTGCCAAACCACTGTGCCCGGGGCGGGGTGGGGGTGGTGGTGGGAAGCGCTGCAGAGAAAGCGCCCTGGCGGAGGGGCGGGATCATCTGTACTGCACAAAGGCTCGAGTCACTCCACAGTCACTGTGGACAGGAGACGGGGACAACGTGGGGATGGGGTCGTTTGCTTGCTTGTTTGCTTCGTAGTAAAGCGAGCAGGTCAATGCCACATATCCACGGGGGCAAGCTTGTTGGACAATGGAGCTTTCGGGAGTGGACAAGGAAAGGGAGGTCTCTCAGTCCGGGCCAGGTGGTTGGACGGCGGATCCGGTGAGATGTCCGAGATGTCCGAGCGTCTGGCTGTGTCAAGGCGGAGCGGCGGCCCTGTCCTCCGGGGGGTGGGGTGGGGTGGGGGGGAGGCGTGGCCAAGCACCTTCAGGCCTTGCTCTCCTCCACTTTGACCGCCCGAGGTTTGATTGCTCCTGTTCGCTTCATCTGGGAGGCAGCCGAGGGGGCCTCCTGCAGTTTCACGGCTCCCAGGCTGGGTTTTTCATCCACTCGTTGTTTGGCCTTTGGACAGATGAATGGGGACAGAGACAGTTACCCTTATGCAGAAACATCTGTCTGGATACATAGCTCCCACCGCCCCCCGCCCCCCCGCCGCCTGCTCCTGAGTCACAGAGGAAAGCTACCCTAAGAGGCCCATCCTTTGGGGGAAGGACCAGACTGAGAAGGACCTCCCCGAGGAAGGACACGGGCATGAGCTGCTGCTCCCCTCCCACAGGTGCTGAAGGCAGTGATTCAGGGAGGCAGGAAGATGCTTGGTCCTCCAGGAAGCACCCCGTGATGGCCACGGGCCTCTGCAAGAGTGGCACATCCAAGGCCGACTTGGAAGGACCTTCTCAAATCAGTGCACGAGCAGATCCAAGTGCACCCCACAGCTGGAACTCCTGAATGTTTGCCGAGGGGCACGGGGCCACTACATGGACTTGGTCCTCCCCGATCTTCGACAACCGCCCCGCCCCAACTCCGGCTCTCCAGAAATCTTTCCCCAGGACCCTCATTTGGCCTCGAGGTTCCCACTCAGGGTCCCATTAACCTGCAGGTCTGCGGCCAGCCTTGACTCTGCCCCCCACCAGGGTGTGACCTCTGCAAGAAAGCTTTAGCAGCTCAGTCCAAGCAATTCAAGGAGCGACCCTCCGGGGAACCAAGTTAGGAGGAACGTAATGAGCGATCAAACTTCCGCCTCCATCAGCCAGGAATGCGGTTTTAATAAAAAGCCACGCCTGCCGTGTGTGAGCTCTGGAGCGCCACTGCATTTTAGAGTAGTGGAGAACAGTGCCTGAAGGCAAAGACACTGAGAAACCCTTTTTTGTTACAAAATGGGAGAGCGGCGTTCCACGGGTACTCCCACCCAGCCAAGACAGAGACGAGACACAGCACTTACTAGAGCTACAGCACGCGCACGCACACACGCGCGGCTTCTAGAGCTGACCCACAGACCTAACCGAGTCCCAGCGCCTTCACAGCCCAAATCGCTATGGAGGGAGGGTCCACCTTTGGCGCCACCTCCTCAGAGGAATCCGCATCCTCCCTTCTCTGCAGGACAAGGAAGGATCCAGACGCCCATCAAGAGGAGAAATGCCTTCGCCAGGAGGGACTCGGGCTGCCGGCTCCCGGCGCCACGCTCTAAGCGCTAGGGCACGTCTCTCTTTTTAAGAGGAGCACTCAAATGGGTTGGACAGTCCCTTCTCTTTTGGCGCTTGGAGACGGGCCTAAGCGTCCGGGGCTGGAGGGTCTGGAAAGCCATCTTCTACCTGTTGAACGTAGTGTCCCTGCACAGAGCCCATGTTAACTGCTGATCCAGAGGGCTTCCCACTGGGGCTAGCAGAGCTAGGCCTGAAAAAACCAAAGGCAGGGGGTGAGAACACACGCGTCGCCAGAGAAACCGAGTCAAGCCTAGCACACGGCGCGGCCCTGGCTCGGGTGGCGCCCTCTCGGACGGAGGAAAGCCAAGACCTCAGACAGCGGAGTGTAGAGGGCGCCGGGGCAGCTCATAGAGACACGGCCAAGGGCAAAGGGGCTGAGGCCCCGGCTGTGGGCAGACACTGACCGGACAGGTAGACGGGCACCGACCGTCTCTCGGGGTCTAGAGGGTCTGGACCAATGGGACCCTGTGACCCACACCAACGGTCTATTAAGCAGATTTCAGAATGGTGCCAAGTTTATTCCTAGTTTTCACTTTTTTAGGCAGTGTGTGTGTATTGGGGGGGGGGGGCGGCGAATGGAAAGAAAAACCCAAAGGAACAAAAATCTGTTGGAACATCTTTCTGAATGTGTTCCATTGACCAGACAATCAGTTCTCCTGGATGTTGACTAGGGGTCTAAAGCTTGAGAAGAGCTGTGTGCGGAGTTCCTCAGGACCCTTGACAGTGGGGGGTGCCCAGACCCTGTGCCGAGGGCCACGACCCCCAAGCATGCCCCGCCCCCCGCCAGTGTCTGACCAGGGAACCCTTTTTTGGCAGGGCATGCCTCAGAAGCCCTGTTTCCAGAAAACTTGGGAAAACACTGTTCCACAGAAACACACCACTTTCCCCACCCCACCACAGCACCAACAAAACAAAGACCATTCGTGCAGGCTTCTACTTCTATCTTGTACGTGTTCTCCAAAAGGCCCGCTGCCATCTCTCCTACGCTCACCAGACGCGGGTGGCTCTGTCAGCTCTGGGTCTGCCTCTGTGGCCAGATGCCGCTCAGCGCCGCCCGTGGCAGCAGGGGGACATCATCTGCTTCTCCAGAGCTGCCCTCCCCACTCCAGGTGACACTACTGTTCTGTGTTGCTAGCTACCTGTACTGGTCATACAATTCTGTCGTTTGGGCCTACGTGAAAAATATGGTCAGAACACAAAACAAACTAATAAACAAAAATAAATGAAGCCAAGAGAATAAAGTAAGAACAGAAAAGATGATGAATGGGGGAAAAGGTCCCACAAACGCCTTTCTCTGGAAAGGCAGGTGGAGCGTGGAATGACGGGACAGACGGGAGGGGCGAGGACCTGGCCTCGACGCTTCCAGAGCAGGAGGACGAGATGGTGCTCTGATCTGCGGGAGTGCTGCCCACTGGAGGGCGGCTGTGTGCCCCTAGAGAGACCTCGGGGCGCCCCGGAGCCCTGCCGCTAACCTCTCACGGAGCGCCGAAGTCACGCGCGTCTGTTCTACTCGCTTACAAACAGGAGGGCGCTCCAGGCACCTCCCACGTGCATCAAGAGCCGGCTGCACCCACCCGCGGGCCCCAGGCCGGAGCGTGCTGCCTGCCCCTCCCAGCACACTCCTCAGGGGCCAACAGCCCCGCAGAACCAGGGGCTCTTCAACTTTCTAGTATAGTAAGCAATTCAGTACCAGGTACTCATCCAAAGCCACCTCTAAATCCAGTTAAGGGACCTGGGACAGTTACTGGAGGCAGAAACCGAGACCAAGGACGCAAAGAGAAGGGGCCGGTCCGCGCGGCGAGAGGCACTGATGGCCCTGCGAGGCCAGTGTGCGGAACATGCAGCCCTGGGAAAGGAAATTCTCCTTGCCTTCCAGGGAGTGTACCTTCCTGGCCACTGAATCCTTTGGAAAATCTCGTGAGAAAGCTGTGAACAGGTCGGGCCTCACACTATTAAAATGTCAGCCGTTCCTTTTCCTACCTTTCCAGAAAGCTCTCCCAAACCAGAGCATTTAACTAGAAGCAAAACCACTCTGCCCGTTCCTGATTTCCCCGTGGTTAACTAAAACATGAGTGTGTCCCAACACTGAAACTTCAAGGTGACACATGGCCTCAAAGGGGACCCAGCCTCAATGCCCCTCCACGCTCTCCCTGGGCCCCTAAGACTCTTCTGCACCCCTGAGTCCCATCTAGACCAAGTACTGGGCGACGCAGCATCCAACCCCCAGGGCATTTCTTTACCTGTAAGTCTGTGGTGACGGCACGGAGCCTCCTGAAGGAACATTCTGTTTACTGTCGGCAAAGTGGAAGCCCTTCATCTCCATCTGAGACGACTGAAGACACCAAGAAGGAATGAGTGGCCGCTGATGGCCCTGGAGACGCCCGGCCCTCACTGACCCACCCCGTGCACAGCCGATGAGGATTTCCAGGGAGAGAGGGATCGTCTGAAGGAATCAGCACTCCCCTTCCCCTGAAGTCTAGGCTCGAGAGACAATTCTTGGAACCAAGAACTGTCCCGTTTTTGTTCTCTTCAAGTGGGGTGGGGAGAGAGGACTGTGCACCACCAGGACGGCCATCAGCAGAGCCTGGACCCCAGTCTTAGACATGCTCTAGGGGGATGTCTGGGACCAGTCTCTAAGACGGCCCCACCACAGCTCCCCTGGCCCATCAGCCCCAGGCATCACCCCCACACACCCCTTTCCCTTCTGCTCTGGGTCTCGGCTCATGTAGCTAGTTTACATGGGAACCAAGGGGCCCCACCATGGGGATCCTAGAGGACTTCACCACAAGCAGGAAACCAGTGGTCTGGTGAGGCCAAGAGCTTGCACCCCAACCTCTGGCCCTTTCTGCCCCAACAGTGCTTCCTGACGAGCTAGCAACGATTCTCCCCAGGACGCAGCAGGATGGAGTCCTCCTTACCTCTCTGCTGGTGTTAAGGACCGAAGGCTGGGAGCCGGGTGGAAGGATTCTCCGGGGGGCCCCGACAGAGAGGCTCTGCCCCTGCGGCAGCTGGATGGACTGTGGCAGAATCAGGGGCTGCTGTCCAGAGCCGTACCGCGGCAGGGGGAGCTGGGAGCCAGGCAGCGGCATCGTCAGCTGCTGAAGGACAGGGACAGTCAAGAGGAAAAACGGACGTCAGGGAGGAAGCCATAAGCTACTGTTTACACGTGGCCCCGAGAGCGGACATATGTTATACTTCCGGTCAAACAGGTTCGGGATTTCCGCTAGGGCACACCCTCGAAGGCAAGGCAAGTCTGGCCACTGGAACCAGGCAGGTGGAGAAGACAAGCTCAGGGCCATGCCAGCAGGTGCCACGCTGTGAGGTGCCCCTGGGGCGAGCGTGGGACGCGAGCAGCTCCTCTCCAGGGCTGCACAGGGACACATGCACCCCAGACCTTCTTGCTTTTGCCCAGCAAAGGTTCGCCGAGCGCACGCTATGTGCCCCGGGGAGAAGCACGAGGGCGCGGTGAGACCCAGGGAGCAGTGAGGACAGGGCCGCCCTGGACGCAGACCCAGCCTGGGGCGCGTAGGCAGCAGACCCCCTGTGCGTGGGCGCGGGGAAGAGTTAGGGAAGGTCAGGAGGGCTTCTTAGCAAGTAATGTCCAAGCGCATCCTCAGAAACGGACGCTGTATGGAGGTGTATCTACGTGCTCCTTTGCGAGGCACAAAAAGGCAAAACCCCTTTACTGTTTTGCCTCCAAAGGTGATGGAAAACTCAACTGGGTTCTGGGGTTCAGGGTTCCTGGAACTGGAGACTCCTGGATCCTTCTGAAGGCTATTATGGCAGCAGAACGTGTGTGTATGGGGGGGTGACAGCAAGCTCTCGTGACCACTTCTCAAGTCCAGCACCACGTGGGTGACGGGGGTGGGGCTGGAGACTCAGGACCGGGGCAGGGAAGCCACTTGTCTCTCAGTCCCTTTCCTCTTCATCCCCCGTGCATTGAGTCCACAGGGGGGGTCAGAAGGATCTATTGGAATTGCATCATGGAGACGAGTGGCAGCCAGAGCCTCCAGACCCCACGCTCCCGCTTGCACAGGACAGGGTGCAGGGCGAAGAGGAGGGCAGCGCTAGGCTCCGGAGCGTGTGGTGTGGCCAGACTTGTGTTTTAGGGGGCGACCTGGCTGCCGTGTTGAGAACAGACTGCAGGCCCAAGAAATGGCTAGAATCTGAATACTTTCCAAAGGTAGAGCCAAAAGCACCTGCTGAAGGATCGGAGGGTGTGAGGGCAAGTGGGGACCTACGGGTGACACGGACAAGACAGCCAGAAGGGCCAGGAGGAAAACCAGGTTTCGGACCTGATGCCTTCGTGCATCATGTTGCAAATGCCGTAAGATGCCAGAGCGGACGCGACAGGCAGCCCACGGGCTGGAAATCAGACACCTGGTGGGACTGGGAAGACCCCAATTTTGATGGGACTTAGAGCCACAGAATCAGACAGAGGTTGGAGGGCAGAGCCCAGGGGGCACGGGGAGATTGCAGACCACGCAGATGAGGAAGACATTTTCACCAGGATGGTGCCTGTAAACCAGAGCGAAGAACACGATTCCAGGGGGTTATGAGCATCCTCTGGGTCAAGTGCTACCGATGGGTCAGCAGCATGAGAGTAAAAAATAACCATCAGGAATCGACTGGTGTCCTTAAAAAAAGTTTCATGGGTTTTTTGGGTCTCTTTAATGAGGGGAATAATAGGTCGGCTGAGTGTAAACAGGAGGCTCCTCCTCCTCGGAGGGCGGCCCTGCAGCGTGTCTGAGGTACCCAGCAGGAGCCTGGCTGGAAGGGCCTCCCCCAGGCACGGCCAGCCCACCCCTGGGGCAGGAGACCCGGCAGGGGGCACTTTGTACAAGATCTCATTTTGTCACTGCTTGTATTTCTCTAGTGACACGGGAAGCAAGATCCCGCAGGTGGAAGGCGGCAAGGAGAAAGTTGCAAGTCTGAAACCGGCAGTGGGGGCAGGGGACTGACGGGCCCAAGTGAGGGGACATGGACATTCCCGAAGGTGGCTGTTGGCGCGTGGCTGTGCATAGCCCGAGCGGGTCTGGCTTTCCATAGGCGCAGACGGCTGTGCACACCCAGGACTGGACTTTACCAAGGTGAGAACACCGGAAGGGGCGCTGAGGGCAAATGCAACAGGGCGGCTGCTGAGCTGGGCAGGGAAGGAAGTGAGCCCACAGGAGCAGGTGGTAAACGGGTGGCCGGAGCTGGGGCGCTAGACGGGGAGAGCCAGAACAGCAGAGCTGGTGACTGGTAAGACCCTTAAGCTTGAGATGACGGAAGAGGGACAGCTTCTGGCACTGACCAGCCTGGACGGGACCGTGAGCACAGCGGAGCACAGCGGAGCACTGGGGGGGGGGGGGGGGTAAGGGGGCCGTGGAACAGAGACCAGGCAATCATCTATGCAGACATCAAAACCACCAGTGGCTAAATTAGGAGCTGTGTTGAGGAGCCTGAGTCAGGGGCCAAAGCAGGGGAGGAGTGACCCTCAAAGCCACCCAATACAGCTGACGGTCATGAGGAAGACGTGGAGCCAACACTGGATTCACTGTGTGGAATCACAGCAACACGGAGGCCAGTGGAGCAGTGGACAGTATGGGCTCCAGAGCTGGGGTTTGGGGGAGAAGGGAGGGAAAGAGGTCTAGAAGCATCAGTGGGTACGCCAGGACATGCACCCCATCTCCAAGCCCCCCCAAGCCTCACGAGGGTGAGGAGAGGCTGTGGGAGAAGCAGTGTTCCCCCTAAGGGATAAACAGGAGCCAGGACTGTTCCCAAGCGGCAGAGGACCTGGCCCCCCGTTCTAGCAGCCCAAGGATCAGCCACGAGGTTACAAGCAGCAAATCACGCATCAAGAGGCAGATAAAAAGGAAAAACAATCATGAAAGAAAGAGGCCCAGTGTTCTGGGCAGGAGGAACTGAATTCCTGACCTGTGGGAGCTGGGAGTCCAACAACTGGGAGGCGCCCAGGCCTGCAGCCTGACCCAACTGGCCCTCGTAGACCAGGGCTTGGTTCCCACTCATGGGCTGGTAGGGGGAGCCAGACTGGGGCTTCACCATCTCTAACGGCTGCATGCCTGGGAACGCCGAGTACGGAGGCTTCAAGGCTGTGCCTCCAGAGAGGATCATGGTGCTGGGTGGTGACAGGCTGGGATGCATGTACACCTGAGATCTGCAAGAGCCAGACAGACAGTGGGTCAGAGGCGGGAGCGCAACAGCAAGACCTCAAGTAAGAGCACATACCACAACCCCCCGGAGGGCTTGCTAAAACCCACACTGCTGGCCTCACCACCCCCACACCGAGTTTCTGACTCAGGAGGTCTGGGACAGAGCCTGAGAATCTGCATTTACAACAGGCTCCAAAGATGGTGTGGATGCTGCTGCTCTAGGAGCCAGTTTGAGCATCACTAGGTCACATATCCAGGCTGTACAAGGCACGGGAAAACCTGTGTGATGCCAAAGGCCCGGGATTTCAGACTCATGGGAAGAGCAGACCGAGGGTCGTGACTGGTGAGAAGGGAGGATGCGGAGGGGCTGGGAAGGGGCAGGATGACGTGGAAAGAAAAAAACAAGGCCTATGGAGGACCGTCAAGCCCACGCAGCTCCTGCGGCAGTTAATAATGACTCTGAAAAGGACTGTGACCACCCCCTCCACCACCCCCACCCAAAGCAGAGAAGCGTGGAGCAGCCACACAACAAAGGCAGTGAGCCCACAGGCCTGGGAGGTGGGCATCCCTGGCTGCATCTCACCTGAAGGGCTGTAAGGAGCTGAAGATCTCCTGAGCCTGGGAGGCGGGGAGCCCGCCCCTCAGGCCCAGCTGGGCTGGAGCCTGCAGAGACGTATGAAGGGAGAGTGGGATCTGCTGGGCAGCGGCAGCCTACGGATGGGAAGCCGGGTAGGTAACTGCAGGGCCCTCCGGGCTGCCTCTCCACCCCCACCCCACCCCACCCCGCCTCCACACGGCAGCTGAAACACTGCCCCAAATGCACACTGGGGCTTGTCCTTCCGGTGCTTTCCTTGCTCTCGGGAAAAAGCAAACAATGGGTAATAATCCCAAACCCTGGTATGTTTCTACACTGGATTCTGTACAACACCAAGAATGAATCCTAGCCACAGGTACCGATAGCAGTGCGTTTCGGAAGCAACGGTGGATGGGACACGTACACAAGGAATACACGTGGTACGATCCGGTTACGTGAAGATCAACATCTTGTAAATCTAAACCGTGTGATATTTAAAAATGTGTTTTACAAAGAGGTTGGGACAGGCCAAGTCCTCTGTCCTTGGTCCCCAAATCTGCTTCTGCCCAAGGGCCCCACCATCCTGGCACACAGGTCCGTGGGGTGCTGGACCATCAGAAGGCTCCACACCAGCTTCAGGAGGGAGGCTTCCAGAAATGCACCCCTTGCAGCACAGAAAATACGCCCATCCTGCATGAAAACAAACGCCTGCACGTTTCTAAAACTACCTCTTTCTAACGCATCCATGCCTGGGACTCTAGGCCTTTCTTCTCTTCATCAGAAGGATACCTGGTACCAAAGGATACCAAAGAGAATTCCATTTCAGCTAATTCCCCAGCTATAGGACACAGGAAGAACTCTGAGAGAGGGAAACCAAGAGTCTGGAGCACGGGGCTCCATTCCTCTCCCCTGTCTCTCCTGTGTCCGTACACTGAACATCTCCTGGCAGCTAGGACAGGCTGGGAGCTGGGCATTACAGGTGAGGGACGCAGGAAGCGAGACAATGCACAAGTCAACGCAGGAAGTAATTCCACTGTGCGCTGCAGCCCCGTCCCCCACGGGGCCGCCTGGCTTGCTCTCATCACCTGCTGGTAACTCTGCTGCTGAGGTATGGTTTGGGGAACCAGCCGGGGCTGACTTGCGAACACGTGGCCGTCCAGGTACAGAGGCGGCAGGTGGTTGCCTGCAAACAGAAGCCCCGAGTCTCACTGTTCCCGAACGTTAGCACGTGCACACGTTCCCACGGAGTCAGCGGGAGGGAGTGTGTGCAGAGCCCTGTGCTCTAGCAGCCCCACACCGACTCACCCGCTGGGGAACACGGGCAGACGGCGGCATCAGGGCCCAGAAGCGGGGACGGGTTCCAACCCACCCTCCCACCCGACCCCTGGCCCACTGGCCCGCACCCTTAGGAGCAGCTCCACTGCAGCTGAGGTGGCCTGGCTCTCGGCCCCTGGCTTCTCTATCCCGCTGCACTGAGTCCACAGTAGAGGATCAGAATGGTCTACAGGGACTCTATCACTGGGACGCTGACAGCTGGGCCCTCAAAAACCCCCAGACTCTCCCTCGGAGCACCACCACACCACCACAGTGGTAAAGGTAGCTACCACTTATCAAGGGCTTGGCTGACACAAGGCACTTTCCAGGTATGACCTCGTCTCGTCGACTAACCCGCAGAGAGCCGGTCTTCTCGCACAGAGGGCTGAGCCACTCACTGGCGATGAGCCCCGTCTCTGCTTCCCAGGGAAGCAGAAGCGCAAGTTGTCCGCAGTCCCTGGGAAGCTACGACCACCCGACCTACAACAAACTCCTACTTCTGCACACTCCTTAACTCAAGCAATCCAAGTTTCTCTTTTGAGAATGAAGGGAGGCGACCCCGCAAGCTGGTTTGGGCCAGGGGATGGCGAACCTGGAAGAGAAGCCGAGGGTGCGACAGAGGCCACGGGCATGGGCGGCATGGAAACTCCGCCAAAGGAGCTGTAGTTGACCCCATTGGAGGCTCCCACAGACGACGGGGGCTGGATGCCTGAGCCCGCGCCCCCAGGAGAGCTCTGCTCCGGCAAACTGGGCGAGTTTTCCCAAGCCTTGCGCGCGGATTCCATCTGAAAAGCGAGGGGAGCAGAAGAATTACCACCAGGGAGGCGGCGGCCAGTGCGGACGGTGGATGCGGGACGGCATGCCGGGCTGCTTGTTCCTGCCCCTTCCCAAGCTAAGGCACCCAGGTGGCCCCCGCCTAGCTCTACACTAGTTTACCTTCAGAGTGAGGTCAGCGGTGGGGAAGGACATTTGGGAGAGGCCGATGGCCCTCTGGATGTGATGGTCGCGCCGGAGGATGGGAATACTCTGCGTTAAGCCCGCCTGGAGGGGAAAAGGAAAACATGCAACACAACAGCACAGCAAAATGCACCTTCAGTTCAGGCCACGTGCACTCAATACCCCTGGGGTGAGGCTGCCAGCAACAGACACCATGGTTATAGCCTCCTGATGGACGCCTTCACAGATTCCCGCAAGAGAATCCACGGAGAGCCACGTCCACGCCCCCATCCCATGGAGCATGGAGGCGCCGGGACCTAGCTCGGAGATCCCAGGTCCTGTCTCAGCCTCCCCACCCGAAAACTAAAAAAGAGATCCTTGTTACATTTCTTCGGAAATGTGGCCAACAGACCCTCCCACACAACGCCCAGTGCCCAGGAACTTATTACAGGGATTCTGAGAAACTGCTCAGAATAAAGACATCTGTCCCAGCACCATCGAACATACATAACCACAGAACACTGAAGATCAGAGAATCACAGAATGCCAAATAAACCAGACCTTAGGAATTACATTTCCCCATTTTAAGATCCCAAAACCAGGGTGTGCAATGCTTACACAACTTGCCCAAGGACATGCATTCAACTAGAAAACACGTCACACCTCACACCCAGGTCAGGCGGCTGACTCCAAACCTGGTGTTTGTCCCCTCCTCTGGCTTCAGGGCTGCCGTACCCCCACCCCCGCCACAAGAGGCTTGCTCCCGTCTCTCCAGGGCCTGCCAGCACAGGAAACAACAGAGCTTGGGTGAAAGCAAACTCACATTACTGGCCAAGGCATCCTGAAGTTTGACAACCGGATTCCCCGAAGGACCAGAGGCAGAACCAGGCGGCAGGCTGAAATCAGAGTCCTGAAGAGGAGGAAGAGCCCACTGAAATCATCTGGCCCACCTTTTGTTAATGTCATCCATAGTCTCAGTGACTCAAAAAATCGGCTGAGCAGCATTCACCAGACAGCACCCAAGAAAAGATGCCACCCCGACCCTCCCTCTGTGCTCCCTGCCTGTGCCCACTGGCCAACCCAATGGAGACAGTGAAGATAACTGCTCTGCTCAGCCTGGTGTTGGTAGAAGAATCTAGAAGGCAGCTCAGTAGCACCTGCTGCATCCAGCACACCAATATGCTCCCCCAGAGAACTGTTTAGCTCCCATCTCCCTGCTCTTTCTCGGTGACGACCCTGTCTCAGCACCCTGCTCTCTCTCCAACTATAAAAAGAAGGGGAGGAGGGGAAGGAGACACATCCAAGCCTTACTTTTGGATTGACTCCAAATTCAATGGGCGGCACCGGCAGCACGGAGTCCACGTGAATCTCTACCCCGTTAACAGGCGGGACAACGGCCCCCTGCAGCCGCTCGGCCCCCTCCGAGCCCTTTCTGTTTTTCAGAGAACGCTCATTGCCGATGGGTCCTGGTCTGTGCTCCTTGCTCTGTCCTGACCCTTGTTCTGTATCCTTGATGGAAAAGCAGAGACGCTGAGAAATACAGGCTGAAAGGACCCCAACCCCCAGCTTCTGAGCCCTAGGAAGAGGGGAAGACGACAAAGGACGACAGCCCCTCCTGCCCTGGTCCAGGCCTCTATGAATGGACTTCCAGCTTACCTTCGGCTCGGACTGCTTCTGAGCCTGCTCCTTGTGGCCGTCAGCCTTGGGCTCCAGGCCAGGCCCGTTCATGTCCTCCGGTTTCAGAGCGCCGTACGGGGAGCTGCGCTGGGAGGAGGTGGCAGACGACTCCCGAGACTCAGCGCTCAGGTCAACGCCGCTGTCCCCCTGGCTGCTCTTAAAACCCTGCTGTGCAAGGCACAAAATGCGGTTAAGAGCCCTGACGCCCAAACTCCAACACGGGACCAGGGAGCAAGACCAAGCCCGTGGCTGAGACACATCCCCCCAGTATGCCTGTCCCTTTCAGTGCTGTCCCGACCTCTGCCCTGACCTGCCAGTGGTACCCAACAACTGATGACACAGTCAAAACCACAAGACACGCAGTAGGTGCCAGGGACATGGCTGCCAAGCTCATCCCCTTGTGACCCAGGTCAGACAGACCAACTGCCACCACAGCCTCGCAGGAGAGGCCCCAGGCGCCCACTCTCGACCCTTCACCCAGATGAGAAGTCAGGAGCGAAGACGAGCGCCAAGCCAGGGCCTGCGGAGATGGCCCCGGGGCCAGGCTCGGTGGCTGTGGTGAGGGAGAGCCGGCCTAGGCACCGGCTGCACAAGGCCCAGGACGAGCCAGCCACGGGGGCGGTGAGCGCGCGCGCAGCCCTGAGCAGCGTGGCGGCCACTCACCTCGGCAGAGCCAGGCTCGGCGCTGTTGAAGGCAGTGGCGGCTTTTGTCCAGGAGTCGTTAGTCGGGGCCTGAACGGGGAGGGCTGCCCGAGGGAGCAAGACAGAGAGTCAGCGCATCACAGAGGAGCCGCTAGGCTGGAGAAACAAGCCCGGGTGCCGCCGACACACACCCAGGCCACTCTCCGTCCTCCCCGCCCCGTCAACGGCATGCCAGAGAGATCTGATCCACAGGAGCTAGTCGGCTGGCTTTACCCAACTTCCCAGCGTCCTCACTCAGACTCTAATAAACGCGCTTCTCTTTCCTTCATCGATTACATGCTCTAGTAAGCACGCCGGCAGCTTCTCATGCACATCTGGGAAGATTCCGTATTGCTACCCCTGCGAAGTGAAGCTTTCTTTTGCTTAAGGCAACAATTCATTTCCACAAGCCAGCAGCTCCCACAAAGACTTTCAAAGATTCAGGCCACTTTATCGACTCCTGTTAGCTCCGGGACCACTCCAAGATTCCCACAAAAGTCTCAGACCCCGTGTATGTACACAAAACTTGACACGCCGTTTTCAGGTCCAGCGGCCCCAGCTCTGAGCAGCCAAGTGAGGCGCTGGAGCGTCCTGGCGGCCAGGGCCCAAGAGCAGAAACAACCGTAGCCTAGTTTGCTCCGAATGACAAGCTGGCAGGTATTTGTGGACATTCAGAGTGTGATAAGCATCACTCACACGTGCAACCAAAGCATCTGACATCAATATTTAGAGATTATTATACTTCCAATCAAAGTTGCGTCTCTTCCAATGTTATCTTTTTTTTTTTTTTTAAAGATTTTCTCTCTTTGAGAGAGAGAGAGAGAGAGGGAGGGAGCATGTAGAGAGCACGAACAGGGTGAGGGGCAGAGGGAAAAGCAGACTCCCTGCTGAGCAGGGAACCCGATGCGGGGCTCGATCCCAGAACCCCGGGATCATGACCTGAGCCGAAGGCAGACGCTTAACTGCCTGAGCCATCCAGGCGCCCCTCCTTCCAGTGTTACTTTGCAATGTGCTGGAAGCAAGGTCACGTGGTAAAACTCAAAGAATCAAAACCCAGAACTGTGGGTGTCTGTCACGTGGCTCTGTGTTCTGGAAGCCTCGGCTACGCTCTATTACACACTGGAAACGGACAGTTTCTCTAAGCTCCCCTGCGAGGCATCATGCGTCCTTTCATTCACCTGTGTACTCCGCAGGGCTCTGCCCAGAGTAAGCATTAAAGAAGGATCTGCTTGATTAAAACAGTTTTGTATTTTAAAATGAAGAGCTACCAGAAAAACAGCACTGGATTTGAAATTTCTTTTTTGAAAAGTTCAGGGAAACAAATTTTCCAAGAAGTCAGGTCCGCTCCCTGTCTTGCTACGAGAGCATCGGGAGGAACTGACAGAACTGCCCGGGGTCGGGGGCCGGCTCGCAGCACAGACAGGAAAGCTTCTGACTCTCTCCTCCTCCTTCGCAGTCACCTGCTGCTCTTGCACAGGTGGGAAGAAAGGGTAACGGACAGGGCTGGGGACTCTCGTCGTCCAGACCCCTGCACACACAGAACGGTGTGCTCTTGCCTCAAATCTAAGGCAGGGAGAGTTTACTTCTGTCCAGGGGCTGCAGCCACAAGTGGGGCTGAGATGGTATCTAGTAACACTGTGGCTCTGGAGAGGAGGCAGGAAACAGGTAAAGCTCCACGGATACAGGGCCCCAAAGCAGGATGCTCCCGAGAAGGGACCCCGGGTGCACAGGACGGCCCTGAGCCAAGCAGCTGAGTCCAAGCACCCAACTCTTACCCTGGCCGCTGCTCTCCCAAATCTCGGTGCCCAGGCTACTGCCGGGCACGGTCACGTCACTCTGCTCCAGGCACAAGCTGTTTTGCTTTTTAGCAAACCGAGGAGGAATACGGGAGGAAAGACCTCGGCCCTTGACAGGCATCTGAGGAGAAGAAAAGGGACGCGTCCAACCTTGACGTGAAGCATGAAGAACGACAAGTTCTTCCCAGGAAGAGCACCCTGGGCCCCCAAACCCTACCACTGGAAACTGCTCCAGAGTGCTGGAACGCTCACCTCTCGACACCTCAACCACAGTTAAATGCAATGCCAACCAAACCACACCTGGAAGGGGCCACCAGGCCCACGGACACGGACCACAGAGACCAAGTGCGCAGTGGCCAGCCCGGACGGCGTCTGAGAACAGGGTCCCTGAGCCTCATGACGTGCCGGATGACAAATCTCATCCCACACAGGCCAGAACAGTGGGAGGAGGGTGGGCTCGGAGGGGCTGATGGAGGTCTGCGTCTTGCTGCTGTCACCAGGGACAAACCACCCTCCTTAACCTCCTCCCACAGGACACCCGGGGCCACGGACGTTCTGTTCTCCCTCCTTCCCCACTTCTATCTTGGTCTTCATTCAGAACTCTGGGTTTCTCTGTACCAGCCTGCCCACCCCCCGCCCCCCCCTTACCTGCACAGCCTGCTCCTTCTTCCTTCTTTCTTCTTCCAGCAGACGGCGCTGCTTCTTGGTGAGGACCTCGATGAAGCCTTCACCCGCCATGGGGCCCACCTCACTCTCCTCCCCAGGGCTGGACCCGCAGTTTTCAATGATGGAATCTGAACCCAGATTTCACGAGAAGGGACAGTGTTTCCATTCATCAGAAGAAAGGATAACCCAACCCTACCAGCTGCTGGTATCTAAGGACAGCTCAGATCAGAAGGCCGGGAAGTACCCGCTTGATGCCTCTGAGGAGCAGAGCGTGTTCATGAGGTCTACAGAAATCCTGCTGGGATCTCTACACCCTCCCCACCGCCCCTCGGCGCACGGTTATCCCCAACCAGAGACCTGAGGAGCACTACAGTTAAGAAGGCAGTCTCTGGAGACAGAAACACTGAAGTCCCAGCTCTGCTCCGAACCAGCCGCGTGACCTGGACAAACCACTCAACTTCTCTGGGCCGCGGTTCCCCCTCTTTACGGGGCGGCTCTGGGAGGTCGGCAAGGCTGTGAGCAGCGTGAGAGTAGGAATCCTATCTGTTCTGCTCACCAACGTAGCCTGGGAACTTAGCCCCCCACCTGCCTGGAGGCCACGATGCTCAGAGAAGGGGCTAAGCCAGCAGCCCCACGGAGGCCGCCGCAGCCCTCGGGGCCCTGGGCTCTCCTTCCCCCTGAAGACGTGAGAAGACAGACTCACTTCCGTAGTTGAGGTCAAACTGTTTCATGGTCTCTCCCTGTTCACCCGCCCTCTGAGCAGCCAGCTTGGCCTCCTTCTCTGCCTTCTCACTGGGGGCTTCGGGGACGTCAGAAGCAGCGTGGGCTGCCCGCTCCAGCGCGTAGTGGCTGCTCACACCGCTGCAACCAAGACCTCCAGGCAAAGCCTCGTCGGGGGGCCTGTAAAGGAAGGAGGATCTTGTTAGTTCCGACGCGGCCGAAGGCTGGGGAAGGAGAGAAAAGGAAAACCTGCATGTGCACACAGCATGCACACGGACACAGCGCCCTGACCTGCAGCGTCCCCCTCGTTCGGTCAGAGCTGCTCTCTGGCAGCGGTGCGTGGCCACGTGGACACCCCACCCCAGCCCACCCCGCTGCAGCAGCTCTGCCCGCTCACGGGGAATACCACTCTTTCCCTGCCCCTTCCAGGGCTCAGTGCCTCTGTTCCTTCCCACCGTGTGCCAAACTCAGCGGGCCTGGGCAAAGGAGACAACGAAGGGGATGCTCTGAGCAGAGCCACAGAACTTTCTGCTCCTGGCACACGAGACTGGCCAGCAAGGAGCCAGGCCCGGCCCTAGCACGAGGCTCTCGGCAGAAATCAGAAGCAATGCCAAGTCTCAGCATCTGGGGCAGGGAAAGCGAGGCTGGCCTGATACCTGGAAGGATCAGCATTCTCTGAGGGCTCCTTCTCTGGGGCTCTGAGTAAATTCCACCCCAGGTTTCTGGCCCTGGATTCTAAGGAGGTTGGGAGGCAGGAAGCAGCCTTCCTCAGCCTGAGGTGTGGCCTGTGTGCAATCCAGAAATCAGGCCGCACAAGTGACCCCCTGCATGTGCTCCCCTCTTTCCTTGAGTCCGGGCAGCCTGCGGGCAATGAGCCGCCCCAGAGCACGGACCAGCCACCTGCAAGCCCCTAGGTCCAATGAGAGATGCTCACAGGGCCTCAGGCGGCTCACTCCCTGCCGCTACTGCCTGGCTCTTTCAACGAGGCAGTTAATCCCCAAAGCGGAGCCACATCTCCTCACTGTAGGGAGGCAGACTCAGGAAGACCTGTCCCCACAGGGCCAGGAGGCTGACAGCAGCCCCGGGGCAGAGGGATCTGGGGGACTGGCACCGTGCACGGATAGTGCCCCCTCAGTGGGGCGGCAACGGCACTTACAGGCTGAATGCTCGGGCCGGGTGCCGGGGCGGCCGCCACACGAGGACCACTGGGGTGGGGACTCTAAGTTTTGGTTTTCAAGCCACAACAACAACGACAACACGCCACAAGAGAAGCAGACAAGCAGTGCAAGAGCAAGTGATGGAGACGCTCACACACAATGGCCTTGGCGGGCAGGGGCCCCCAGGGGCACAACAGAGGGACAGAGTCGGGGCTCCTGACACATGGCGGGACACGCATGCATGGAGTGCTGCTCAAAAAAACGGGCTTAGTAACAGAACAACAGCAACAGAAAAGAGCCTGGGGTTGGGTTTGTGTTTTACCTTTTGGCTTTCAAAGGCGTCCCATTCTGTTGGCTCTCATAACGGGGAGAAGTGTCACCACCACCTGGCCTAACGGACTTCTCCCCAAACCCCCCCGGCTCCAGCTTTCGGCTCTGCCTGTCAGCCAGGGGCCTCTGGCTGGAGAAGCTCCTCTTGGCCAGCTCCTTCTTCTCGCCCACGGCAGCCCCGGGCAGGCTGCCGTCTGCCTGGGGGTCGGGCTCGGCCCCGGGACCCTCGCGCCGCTCCCGCCTCTCGCTGAAGTCACTGCTCTCGGAGGCCGTCTCCCACTCCTCGTTGGCGTGATCGGATGAGTTCTGGTACGAGAGCTCGGGGGACCCGCTCTTGTCCCCGGGGCAGAGCTTGGGCCGGCCCGGCCACGGCCCTGCCAGCAGGTGGGGCTCCTCCTCGGGCCCCCACAGGCCCAGGGACTCCCGCTCCTGCCGGAGGCGCCGGAAGCGCGGCGGCTTGTCCTGGCGTGGGGGGCGCCTTCTCCGGAAGGGCCGGTTCTCTGTGCCTTCTGGGTCGGCCGCGTGGTCGTCGGGGAAGAAGGGCCTCTTGTCTTCCAGGCGGCTGTCCTCGAAGGCCCTGGCACCAAACGAGTCAGAATGTCTGTATGCGTCGGGGACACAGTCTCTGTCTGCAGGTCGCCGGGACCCGCACGCGTCCGGGGAGCTGTACTCCTGCCAGGAGGCGCCCGGGCTCTTGCTCTGCCAGTGGGCGGCCTCTTTGGACACGAAGGTTCTCCGCCCGTAGCCGCAGCTGCTCAGCCGGGGAGGGAGCGCCCGGCCGAAGGCGCGAGGGCCTCGGCTCTTGGCCTCCAGGCCGCTGTGGTCCTCGGAACACACCTTGTTGGAGCGCCAGGAGTCCCTGAAGTCACCCTTCCTCAGGGCGCTGCCCTCCCGCTCCAGGAGCGAGCCTTCGCTCCCGTTCTCCGAGCCTCGCTGCCGCCGTCGCTTCGGAAGCTCTTCATACTCGGAGCCCTCGCTGTGGGTCTCGCTGGCGATTCGCCGCCGCGGCTTGGCCCTGGGGAAGTCTTCCGGCTGGCCGAAGTCCCGCAGCCCCCGGCCGCGGCTGCTCCTCTGGCCGCCGCCGTAGATGCCCCGCGCCCCGAGCACCCCCCCACCGCAGAGGCCGGGGCCACCGCCTGCAGGCCGCCCGCGGAAGGTGAACTCTCGGAAGCCGCGGCCGCGGCCCCGGGCCTGCCCTCGGCCCCCAAAGGCTTGCTCCTCATCGATAAAAATCCAGTTGTTCCTCTTTGTCGGGGGAGTGTCGCTGGACTCCCGGGAGGGTCTGCTCTCCCAGGCCCTGTCGGGCCTCTCGTCCCCTTCGCACCTGCTGGCCTCGCGGCCCAAACCAGCCCGGGCAGAGCCCTGGTCCTCCGAGGGCGAGGGGGAGGAGTTGGCCAGCGCGGGGTTGTTCTCTTCGTCCTCCTCGTCCTTGTCAGCCGTGCGAACCGGCCCCTGCTCCTTGGCTACGCGGGCACTCTCCTCCCCCAGGTCCTGCTTCAGCTTCTCGAGTTCCTTCTCCTTGTCCTCTACCTTGAGGGCTTTTAGGACGGGCTTCTTGATGGGTCCCGACCTCCGCGTCCTGCCGGTCTGCTCCGGGGGCTGGCCGCCTGGGCCCCTGGGCTCGGGCGTCCACTCAGGCTCCAGGGGCGGCTCTTTGTTGGGGCTCCCTTCCTTCTCCCAGGAGGAGATGTTAAAGGATGGCTCCTCCCGGGGCGCTCCCTTCTCGATGCCGTTGGTTGTGTCGGTGGCCTCTGGTGGGTGGCTAACGTCCCAATTGCTATACTCTGGCTTTTTCTCGGCTGGGGCAAAGTCGGGCTCCAGTGGGGAACACCTGAGGTCTGGGGTGTGACCCCCAGGAGCACCTGCTTCCTGAATATTTTCTTGGGGTAGAAACAAAAGCTCCTGGCCTATTCTTTGAGAAGAGACACAGCTGTCAAAGTCTGCTTGGGCCTTCTTGTCAAAAGCACTCAAGAACTCCTCCCCTCTCTCCTCAAGGAGATCGCGCTGGGCACCTACGCCCCCTGACCTTCCGGGGGAGGCAGAGTAAGAGCTTTCATTCCTGAAAAGGAACCAGAAAAATCAGTCAACGTGATTGGAGCCTGGTTCCTGGTTTCCATGCTGAACACAGAGCTTAGTTTTAAAAAGAAAAAAATTTTTTAAAAAAGAAAACGAAAAAGAAAAAAAAAAAAAAACATAAGCACCAACATCTGCTCTATCTTTAAACATGTCTCAGAGCTGCTGGGCCATAGATTGCTGGGTGGCCCCCGGAGTCCAGAGTGAAGAGTGCGGTGGCGGCTGGTGCACTCAGCGTGCCACCTGGAGGCAGAGCAGCTGGGGATCCTCTAGTTCAAACGACAAGCTGGAGCCTGGGAGTCCGCGGAGAGTCTGGGGCACTGGGCCAGCAGGGCCCACTTGCTTCACTTTCACAGGAAGGAGCCACGACCCGGGCACTCGACCCCGCCGGGCCCCACCCCTCGCCCTGACCTAGGACCTCTCCCTGGCTGCCGCCAGTCTCGCAGGCAGGGAATCGCCTCTCATACAAAAGCCTTCAAGCAAACCTCATCACATTCTCCATCCCCGTAGGACACTGCCAATCCCTGAAAGCGCCCTTTCTCCAGGCAATGCCTCCGGGGACAGTGCTTCATCCCCAAGCCCCTTGCAAGCAGGACATGGGAGATTCTGCCTTCAATTGCAGGGCAGTAGGGCCAAGTTCCATCTCACCTGACGTGCATGTCCATGGCCAAAGTGTCGTTTGATTTCGGCTGGGGAAGCGAATAGCCCTTGCTCTGCAATGCCATGTAACCCTCGGGGCTCCACACCGGGGCTGGATCGAGGGCGGCCACTTTCCTTTCTTGCAGTGGGGGCACGCAGTTCTGGTCCTCGGAGCGACAGCCAGTCCCACTGAGGGAATCTTGGGGCAACACTGGCTTCATCAATCCTGAAGAAGGCAAAGGCAAAGAACCAATCTGTATCGGCTTGTTCAGAGAGTCACACTCCAATCTCAGGGGCAACGCGAGGCCCAAAGGAGACAACAGTGACCCTATCATGTGGACACAGCACCCCACCTGCCCACCATCACCAGGCTCTCCATGCTCTCTGACCACAGAACCTCTGAAAGCACACATGCGTGCAACGTGAGGTATCCAAAAGACCAGTCCTGGGGCCCGTGAAGTCCAACCTGAGCTCCCAGGTTCAGAGCCCCGTGTTGAAGAGTGCACCAACCTGGCAAATGGAAACTGAAAATAGCTAACTGGAGAGCTCCTCCTGTTAGCAGAAGGCCAGAGGGGCCAATCCATCAGCCACGAAGGTCTGTGTGCGAGCAGAGACGCCCGAGGTCTCCTGCACACACAAGGAAGGGGAGCTGCACGCCAGAGAGCTTACACAGACAAAGAGCGGGCCTGCCTGCTTCAAAACCCGAGCAAGAAGACTTGGGAAGGGATTTTGGTTTCGGTTTGTTTTTTTTTTAAGATTTTATTTTTATTTTTAAGTCATTTCTACACCTCACGTGGGGCTCAAACGCACAACATCAGGATTAAGAGTCAGATGCTCCACCGAATGTGCCAGCCAAGCACCCCAGTTCCTTCTACTTCTAGCCCTAAGACTGACCGCAACACTCTTTTTGTACAGTGAATGAGGGCAGGAGGACACACAGATGACAACAAACTGTTAACTGGCCTGAGGTGATTAAGAGACAGAGGACGGGGCGCCTGGGTGGCTCAGTCAGTTAAGCCTCCGACTCTTGGTTTCAGCTCAGGTCATGATCTCAGGGTTGTGGGATTGAGCCTTGCGGTGGGCTCTGAGCTCAGCGGGGAGTCTGCTTGAAGATTCTCTCTCTCCCTCTGCCCCTCTCCCCTGCCTCAAATAAATAAATCTTTAAAGAGAGAGACAGAGGACACCTTGTCCCACCAGATAGAAGCTGGCTGGGGAAAGTGAACCCCCATGGCCTCTCTGTCCATTTCGATCAAGTGGGGGAGGGGGGGCAGGGAGGCGGCACAGAAATTAAAGGTCTCGTTGGGCCTAAGCCTGTGGAGAGAAAGAGATCTGATTTTTCAAATACTCTCTTCACAAAGCTAATTAGCAGCCCTGCACTTTGTTGTGACCATGTTTTACTGAGATAATCTGGCCGGAAAATGGTTCGACGTTATGCCAGCGGCTTTAAAGCTTTCTTGTAGCTGTGGAGTGCCCTGTTCAAATGCCACTGATACGGGACTCCAATATAAAGTCAGTGTGAGTCAAGAGGTGGAGACCCTCTCTGGAACTCTAAAATTACACGCCGCTCATTAAGTACTGATTATGAGGCATGCCAAAGCGCTCAACAGTGTCATCGGCTTGTTTTGGGCAATATGGCAGCTCTTATTACCTGAAAAACCCTGCTACCCCAAACGCTGTCTGCCGCAAAAATGCTGTGCAGAATGTGTCAAACATTCCCCTGCAGAGGTTTCCAAGAACAGGAAACCCCCAGTGGGCTGAAACCACAGCCCCAGGCCAGTGCCACAAGCTGGTGCCTCCTGGACAGGAGCAGGGACACCGCTGTCAGTCCCAGCAACTATGGGCTGGGTCTTCATCACCCAGCAGCATGGACGATGGGGCTTTTCTGCACAAGGCAGAGAGCTGCAACTGGGATGCTGCTCAAGACAGAGACCCTCAGAGGGCGAGGCCCTCAATTAAAAGGCAGATTTAAAAACATATGCTCCTTAGTACAGGGCAACAAGGAAATTTGTGTCTTGGCCTGGACCAGTGAGGAAAACCAGTTCTCTCCCAGGAATGTATAGCCGTACCAGCTCTCATGCAGTTTGGGGGGAGGAGGGTTCAGATTTACACCCCCAGAGTGGTATAGAAATGTCCCAAGTAAAAATAACAGGTGGTTCTAGGCGGGCAGGAGAAAACCACCCTGGAGGGACAGACTCTCCACTCGAGCCGTACTGGATTCCTACAATAAATAAAACTCTGCTGAAGATGAACTCACAATCCAAAATTACCAGCATGTGTGGGATGCAGCCTGCCATGAGCCCACACAGGCCACAGGGTTATGTGCCTCCCTGAGAACTTCAGATAAAGAATAAACACTAGAAATTATGTTTTAAATTAGTAAAAGCATAAAAAAGTAATTAAGAACTTAAAAAAAAAAAGTATGATGCGTACACAAAAAACAGATTTGATTTGATGTCAGGTCATAACCTCAGGGTACTGGGATCGAGCCTGGTGTTGGGCTCCGTGCTCAGCGGGGAGTCTGCTTGAGGACTCTCTCACCCCCCTGCCCTTCCCCCACTCACACACACTCTCTCTCTGAAATAAACAAGTAAATCTTTTTTTTTTAAAGATTTTTTATTTATTTGATAGAGACACAGCGAGAGAGGCAACACAAGCAGGGGGAGTGGGAGAGGGAGAAGCAGGTTTCCCACCAAGCAGGGAGCCCGATGAGGGGCTCTATCCCAGGACCCTGGGATCATGACCTGAGACAAAGGCAGACGCTTAACGACTGAGCCACTCAGGCACCCCTAAACATGTAAATCTTTAAAAAAAAAAAAAAATACAGATTTGAGAAAAAAAATTCCAGTAATAGAGAAAGAGGAGCTCTGGGGCCTGGCAGAAAGGCTCCCACAAAGAAGGGCGGCTCTGCCACCAACGAGGCAGTAACCAGAGAATACACCATCAACAGTCAAAAGCACGTCCATAAAGTGGGTTTTAAGACATGTGCCCCTCGGGCACTCAAAGAGATACAGAAATTTGCCATGAAGGAGATGGAACTGCGGATGTGCGCACTCACTGACACCAGGCTCAACAACGCTGGTGTCTGGGCCAAAGGAACAAGGAACGTTCCATACCATACCCATGTGCGGTTGTCCAGAAAATATAATGAGGATAAAGATTCACCAAACAAGCTCTAGATGTTGGTTATCTATGGACCTGTCAACACTTTCAAAAATCTACAGACAGTTAATGTGGATGAGAACTAATCGCTGAATATCAAAGAAAAGTAGAAAACTGCAGGGCGCCTGGGTGGCTCAGTCGGTTGAGCATCTGCCTTCGGCTCAGGTCATGATCCCGGGGGGTCTTGGGATCCAGCCCCATGACAGGCTCCCTGCTTGGTGGGGGCCTTCTCCCTCTCCCGCTCCCCTTGCTTGCGCTGACAAATAAATAAATAAAATATTAAAAAAAGAAAGAAAAAAAAGTATAAAACTAAAAAAAAAAAAGCAAAAGCAGCAGCCAGAGAGAAAACAGAGCAGGCTATGCAGACATGAATCACTCTCAGCAGCAACGGGGGCCAGAAGAAAATGAAATACTATCTTCTTGGTCCTGAAAGAGAGAGAACTGCCAACCTAGAATTCTACACCCAGCTAGAGAAAGGGTGTCATAAAGACTTTTTCAGGCAAAGAAAACCTACTGCCAAAAAATTTCCTGAAGAACTCGACAGAACGTACGTCATGAAGAAGCATGTTGCACCCAGATGGAAGGAAAACGCAAGAAAGAGAAAGCAGCCAAGAAACCAGTATAGGGACAGGCAAGTCTGAACAAACACAGATGGCATGGAACAACAAAAACAAGGGACTAAAGTTCTAGGGACCAAGAGGAAGACAGACTGATGGCATCATCAGAGCTCAAGTGAGGGGTAAGGACGCCGACCGGCTGCTGCAAGTCAGAGGTGCGTATCAGAGTGTAACGTAACCACTGAGAACAGCAGAAATAGAACGCAGAGTACGACCACCAAAAGAATAGGAAAACTTGCTCCAAAAAAAGGGAAGAACAAGAAAAGCACAGAAAGGTGAGATACACAGAAAGCATAAAACAGGAGAGTAGGAAATCCGAATATAATAATCCCCAAGATCTAAAGTGAGGCACTTTGGCAATTCAAGTCAGATCTTCAGAGTGGGTAAAACCATGCACATCTTGTACATACAAACTCCCCCGAGAAAAGGGCTCAGAGAGGCTGACAGTAAAAAGATGGAAAAAAGATACCAAGTGAGCACTCATCAAAAGAAAACCGCAGTGATGACATTTATATCAGACAGAGTGGACATCAGAGGGAGGAAGCACAATCAAGGGCAGCAGGTGCTACGTGATGACGAGGAGAACGAGATGCATTGCTCCACACCTGTCTGCTTCCAGACAGAGAAAGCAAAACCTGACAGGCTTTGGCATCTGACAGATCTCCAGTCAGAGTGGAAGACCCCCTGCACCTCTTGGTAAGTGATGGCGCCGGGGGGGGGGAGGGGGGCGCAGCGCGGTAAGAGCTTGTGGTGAGATAGGGTAGGTGCTCACAGCACAGTCAGCAAGTTCCAGGTAATGGGCCGTGTCCAACTGGAGGATAATGTTCTTTTCAAGCAAACACAGAATTAAAAAAAAAAAAGATCATGTCATATCCTACAAAAAAAATATCAACAAATGCCAAGCAACCTGGATCAGGAGCTGGGTGGTGCACAAAAGCCCTTGAGTGAAATCTGACCTGCCACTGTTGTTAAAAATAAAGTTTTACTGGAAAGCAACCAGGCTCGTTCAATTACTATCGTCTTTGGTCATTTTTGTTCTAAAACAGCAAAATGGAGTAGATGCTCAAAGCCTAAAACATTGACTATCTGGCATTTATAGGAAGGTTTCCTGACCCTTGTTCTCTATGGTCCAGACAATATTGCCTGACCACAAAGCAACCACATTAGAAATTAATTAACACCATAGGGACAATCTTAAAACTTCAAATTTACAATATACCATTAAAAATCATCAACCAAAAAAGGATAACAAATCAAAATCAGACTAGCATTTGAAACCGTATAACAAAAATGTTTTATCTTAAAACTCCTATTCATGGGAATTTATAGTTGAGGTCATCCTTGAATACTTAGAACAGAAGGCCAGAAATTAATGAGCTAAGTATTCAACACAATTAGTTAAGAAGAGAAAAATTTCAAAGGAATTAATGAGGAAAAGAACAGAAATGAAATAAAAGCCAAATAAAATAATTAAGAAATCCAAAAGCTGCTTTTTAACAATGGCATTATACAAACCTTGGGAAGGACAAATCAAGAGCCAAAAAGGAACATAATGCATAAAGAACATTAAGAATGGAAAGAGATAAACCTCAATTAAAAAAAAAAAAAAAAAAGACAGAGAAACAAAACGACACAGCGGGAACACCAGAACTAATTAAAACAATGTAGAACGCATGACCGGAAGGACTCTTCCCAGCGATTCCATGTGACTGGTACTATTACCATAGCCTCACTTTGCAAACAACAAAAAGTTCCAGCTCAGGCTGGTCCTGTGAGTTACAGGGAGGGCCAAAGTCCAGGTGGGTCCAACTCCCGAAGGAACACCCTTACCCTCACACCATCCTAGACCCTACTGGTAGGGCCCACTGGAGCATGCTTACCTGAGGGGTGGAGGGCGGAGGGGTAGAAATCCACTGGGGCGCGGGTGGGCGGGATTCGTGGGTCCATGTAGGAAGGCATCATCATCCACCTGGGATCGAAGCCCAGCATCTGGGGATGGTGGGGGTAGAATGTGCGCGGTGGGTGGGAAGGCGGAGGGTACACGGGCTGCCAGTGCTGCATTTTGTAGAGCTGCTCCTGACCGGGGAGAGAGACCAGGTTAGACAGGTGCCCCGGGGCAGAGCCTGCGCCTGTGTGTACTCATGTGCAAACACACACACTCACGTGCGCACACGGCACATACACATGCTCACACACTGCACCCCCCACAGTCACGCCAAGCCCGGGCTTGAGGAGTGTCTGATGGTTCCCCCCACGGCTCTCTGTGGGGCAGCCTGAATCCCACCAGGCCCGATGTGAGCTGCCCTACCTGCCGCCAGCTTCAGCACACACGCCTGTCGGCCTCATGGGGCCCTGGTTACACACTGGGCCCTCCATCTAGAAGGCTCCTGCTCGCTCCCTCCATCCTGGCTCACCCCTGCCCTTCCCTCAGTTTCCACTTAAAACGCCCTTCCTCTGGGCAGCCCGCCACAAGTCCGTGGGCAGGACCAGATGGCTGTCCTCGGCTCTGCAACACTGGGACTCCTCCCTGTAGCACTCACTGGAGGTCACAAGTCTGTACTGCTGGTTTCCCCTCACAAAAACCGTAAGCGACTGCACTCCGAGTTCACTGTAGTAGTCTTGCCACCTACCACCAGTCTCGCCACATAGAAAAGTCACTGAACAAATGGATGAATATCAGCAAAACATTCAAATCAAGTCCTACACCCCGTGAGGGTTCGCTTCCAGCTCTGCCCCCTGGCATCAGTGACCCCTGGGGCACCACATAAGCGCACCGAGAATGAGCATTCCAGCAGGAGTGAGGTACAGAGGTGGTTAAGAAGAGCTGACCGGCTTCGCCCTACCGATCTGCAAACAGGAAGGCCTGGGCCGGGTGCGTGGAGCTCCTCCTCCATCTGGCCCCCAGGCCCCCAGGGAACCCGACCAGACAGTCTGGCTGCCAGGCTCCTTCGGCTGCCCTGGTGCTTTCAGACTCCTTTCTATTCCTGAGGAATGGCCTACCCACCCCCGCCCCCCGAAGCGTCACTCTTACGGCTGTGTCCGGCTGGAGTTACCCCAGGGATCGTCCTGATGGGTAATTCTCCACCAAGCCCGCGAATCACTGCACAGTGCCCGCTCACTGCAACACCACCAAAGCGCGAGGAATATCACCTTCCTGTTTATAGCTCAGGATCTGGTGAGCTTCTGAAATACCTTGCAGGGGCCCAGGGAAAGGAGGATCTGAGGTGAAGGCTTTAAGGGCAACTAAAAGAGATTCCGGAAAAGGCTGAAGACCCTGATTGTCTCCCTAAGGCACACATGTTCTGGTCCATGCTCAGTTGTCATTAACAGCAACTGCACGCACATCTAGTGGCTGGCCTACGTGATGTCCATGTTTCCTCTGGTTCCTGCCAAAGCGCACTGCTCATCAGTACGAACCTGTTCCTCCACGCATCCCTCCTCAAAGACACACTCACCAAAGAGTTATCCAGTGGGGCCACCAGAGACTGGTGTGATGACAACCATCACCCACGTCATCCTCCCCAGGGCAAACAAGGTCCCTTTTGAGCTTTACGAACCACTCAAAAAGAGGAGACTGATAACACTGCCGAGCCAGTCCGCAGGCGCCCAAAAAGCCTCACTACCACACTGAGGCAGGAATCCATTCCTCCTGGCCCATCCAAGGCCACACCCGACTAGACAAGCTGCACAATCAGGATCGGAATCAGTTCAACTCAACACCCACAAACCTACATCCTTAGCCCAAAGCTAGCACACCTCTCCGGCAGCTTTCCAAGCCCTCCTGGGTCTCCTCCCTCACTGGGAGGGTCCCAGAGTGGACAACGCTGGTCTCAGGAGAGGCCACAGCGGACTGCGCTGAATGAAAACACCAGTGTTCGGTGAAAACTGCACTGGGTGAGTGCACAGAGCACCAACACTTCCTTACTGACACCAGACAACACGGCCAATACGCTACCAACAGCGGTTTTACTCATTTACGGTAGAAATCACTCAGAAAAATGCAAACTGGCCAGGGCTGGTCTTCTAGGGCTGTAAGTTTTCAGGTGCAGCTCCTGACATCCCTGCCGGTGACAGGGATACGGGAGGGCAGATTTCTGTCGGCTGCTTTCATCAAAGGGGGAGGGGACATCCAGGGAGCAGTCCGATCTGTTTACCTGCTGCTGCTGGCGCTGGAACCTGGGAGGAAGTGACTTCTGGTACTTGCTGAACTCCTGTGCAGGGGACCCAGCTTCCCTGGCCCCCTCCTCACTGCTGCCGCTCTGGGCCACAGCTGGAGGAGCCGTGGGGGCTTCTTCCGAAAACGTGTTGGGGGCTCCCTGGGCAGAGAACTCAGGAGAGCCTAAAGGACAAATAACCAGAAAAACGGCTGCAGTGAGCTCACAAAAGCTGGGTCACCCAAACACTGGCGGCAAATGCTCGTTCTTGTTGGCACGGACATCCCAATGCTGGCCTCCTCACAGCCCCGAGCCTGGCACTGTGCTAACTGCCCTGCATGCGTGTGCTCACAGAACCCCCCCGTGACGCCATCCCTTTGGAGGGGAGAAAGCTAAGGGTCGAGAGGGCAGGTGACCTGCCAGAGGTCAAAGAGTCCGCGGTGAGGCTGGGATTCGGTTCCAGGCAAAAGAGGTTTTATCGAGAAGGACTCCAGCAAACCAGAGAACAGCCACCAGCTCGGCGACAGCCCACATCCATCATCCGAGCAGCGGGAGTCAACACATCCAAAGGCTGTGCGAGTCACCGCGCCTCTCCTCGCCCGCTTCCTCATCGATAAAGGGAAGAGAACAGTTTCCTTCTTTCTTGCCCCTGTCCCAGCTTTCCATTCTTTTTTTTTTTTGGTCCCCAGCTTTACTGACATATAATTAACATCTGCACTCTTTAATTCTACCACAGGGGACAATCAAACCCCAATGCAAAGCCTCAGGGACCTGGCAGTGCTTCCCAGGGGAACGCCGCAGAAACGCAGGGCAGGTGCACACACAGCACCCAGACCTGCCCCCGAGGACCTGTCTCAACTGACCCGTGCTCACACCAAACAACCTGTTTCCTGGACTCTCCAGCTCAGCGAGTACTGAGGCTGGGCACAGGCTGCACCCAGACTTCCAGGCAAGGAAATGGACAGAACAGTCGGCAGTTTCTCAGAATTCCCTGGACAGAAGGAGCTGAGGACCAGCAGATCAGGAATAAGACCCACCTGAGCACCTACCATCAGCCCCTTCTCTCCTAAAAAGAGTTGGTGTTAGTTGACTTAAGAGTATTGGGGCACCTGGGTGGCTCAGTCAGTTGGGCGTCTGCCTTCGGCTAGGGTCATGATCCCGGGGTCCTGGGATCGAGTTCCTCATAGGGCTCCCTGCTAAAGTTTAGAGACTGCTTCTCCCTCTCCCTCTGCTCCTCCTCCCTGCTTCTGCGCTCTCTCTCTCAACTAATAAAATCTTAAAAAAAAAAAAAAAAAAGTACATCACAAAGAACAAAGCTGGTCGTACTCTTTCAAAGTGCTGCAAGAACCCCTTTCCGCCACGCAATCCATTCCTTGCAGAATCAATGCCAGGAAGAATGCACTCGAATGAGCAGGCAGGCTTCTCTCAATGTCACAAAGGCACATTTTTTGTGATTTTCTTAAATGAACCGCAAGGACCCTGGGCTTGTATTAAAGCCCTCCAGCACCCGCATATTTGGCTGGGCAGTGGCAGGAACGAGAACACTGATGAGGACAAGGACGGAGCTAGTAACACGCGCGCTCTCCGTATCTAGAAGGTACGCCACGTGCTTTCTGTACTTTCTTTCCCGTGGCCCCTCAGCGCGCAGGCGGGTACAGGCTACTTCCATCCCGTTTTAACAATGAGGAAACAAGCTCCAGGGAGGCGAAGTGTGTAGCTGCAACAGGATGTGAACCCAGGCCAGAACTCAACGGCCAGTGCTTCCCCGCGTCCCCTCGCTGTGGCCGCAGGTTGCACTAGGGAGCCAGGGAGATGCAAACAGAGTACTGGCAACAGCCCGGGGTGTCCGGTTCACGGAAGCAGGGCCCAGCGCTTACCTTTGCGCACAGCAGGGCCATTCTCCTGCGGGGGCAGCTTCTCAGTGCCTGGAGAGCGGGGCACTTCCTTCTCTGCCTGCTTCTGGGCCTCGCCCGCCTTCTGAGCCTGCTTGCACTTCTGGTCCAGCTGCTTGAGCTTGGCGGCACAGGCAGCCAGTCTCTCTTCCCGGGCTCGGCGCTCCTCCTCCTCCCGGCGTTTTCGGGCTCGCTCCACGGCCTCAGACATCTCTGACTGCACAAACTTCTGCCGTGGGGGTGGCTTGTCCTCCTTCTCCTCCATAGACTGTTGACGGAACATGCTGCCCAGCGAGGACTTCTGCCCAGAGAATAAAGTCGGATGAAACAATGGGCCCCGTGCCCGAGAGACGGTCCACCCCACCATGAGATCAGTTCTCCTTCCCGAGACCCCCGAGCACCTTTAAGAGGCAGCAGTCACGTGCCGAGTGGACCTGGGCTTCAATCCTGCTTGGCCCTTTACTAATCTGCAGTGAGGTCTGGGCAAGTGCTAACGTTCTCTACCTTAGCTCCCCCTGTGCAAGCTGGGGATAAAGGAGGCCCTAGGGACAGGAGATGTGCAATGAAGGACATGCAAGGCGCCCCGCACCATGACCGACACAGGAAACAGTGCCTGGATGCTCTCACCACGGCTAACGCGCACACAAGATTAGGGCCTCCACAGCTAGCGGACAGGAGCAGAGACCCCCCCCCCCACATTCATCATTTGAGTCGCAAAATGGCTCTCCTCTTTCTCCCGTGAAAATACAGAAACCTCTGGGTGTAAAGGGGCGCAAGAAACTAAAATTCACCGTCAGACATATGGTTTCAAAGTGACTCTTCATATAAAAACATCTCTTTGGGCCACTTCATCCACTTCTGAGTCTCTCACTGGTTCCCAGTTACTGGGCAACCAGTGGGACGCCCTCTCAACCCTAGAAAGGTTGCTCCCCGATCTGCAGGGAGCAGAGCTGCAGAGAGACCACAGCACAGATGATGGGCAAGTGTAACTGAGCACCAGTCACCAAAACTCCCGTGAGGAACGACCATCAAAACACAGAGCTTCCCAGGGCACCTGGGTGGCTCAGTCGTTGGGCGTCTGCCTTCGGCTCAGGTCATGATCCCAGGGTACTGGGATCGAGCCCCACACTGGGCTCCCTGCTCAGCGGGGAGCCTGCTTCTCCCTCTCCCACTCCCCCTGCTTGTGTTCCCTCTCTTGCTGTGTCTCTCTCTGTCAAACAAATAAATAAAATCTTAAAAAAAGACAAAACACAGAGCTTCCCATGCTGGATGCTAGTGACAGACGCACACAACGGTCCCCAGTCCTCAAACATCAACAAATAAAATCTCTGCCTTTTCTGGTGTGCTCATGAGCCCTTGACGAAAGCGCCATGTGACACATTTACTGCAGTCAAGGACTTTTCTCCTGCAAGTTAACTTCTCGTGATCCAGAGACAATAATGACAATCAGAGAAGATTAGAAACTTCAAACTTGGAAGCATTTAAAAGCACTTTCAGATGATGGGACTGGGGCCGAGGTGCGCATGTTCCTTTCACGTTGCCTGGGATCAGGCCTGCCCGTGCTCTGGAACGCTGTGCACTGCGGCACCCCCGGGGCCTACATCATCATTTACCTCACCCCCCAGGGCTCCCAGAAATGAAAGAGCAGAATCAAAGGGCACATGTGTAACTCCAGCAAGATGGCTGGGAGTGCCCTAACATTAGCTGCCATTTCATAGACCCCGTGCTCTGGAAAGCATTTGAACTTTTCAGAAATCTGAACGCATAAAATTACAGAGATTTTTTTCTCTGTTGACTCAGTTAACTCACGTTGTTTATGAGCAGATCAAAGTGAAACCTTCCTGGAATACTGAGTAACCCCAATATAGGAATGGAATTTGGATTAGTTGCAGGGTAATTTCCAAGAACAGCTCTGTGTCAATTTTGTTTCACTTTTGTGTCCCCTATGCCTAGCACAGTGCCTGGCACACAGTAGGTACTCAATACAAAAGACTGAAAATAAAGGCATTTTTATTTTATATGATGTGGAACCAGAGTCCCTTAAATGGCAAAGTGCATTAAAAATGGCAATTTTGTTACTGTGGTTGTTGTTTTGCTAAATGTATTTGAATTAATACCTTTCCCTGACCTAACTCTGCGCCTCTTGATCAGTCCCAAAGTCACGAAGTGTGGCACAACAAGGCAGGCATCTGGCGCCGGGCAGTCATGGTGGCTAAGAGCAGGTGGTCAGAGCCCAGGCAGGGAGAGGAGGGGGTCCGTGTAGAGGTGTGGCTGTGTGGGAGGAGTTAGAGCCCAACCAAGCTGAGTGAGGAGGCACTTCACAAGGAGAGGCAGCCCAGCAGGGAGATTCAAGGCATCCACGTGGGGCAGTGGGGGACGGGGCACTGACAGCTGAGGGGGCAAGCAGGGCATCTGTGCAAAGGAGAGCGTGGGGGGCAGAAATGGGAGACTGGTCACACACAGGGGGACGGATCAAGTGAGTGTGAATACTAGGGACAATGGGAACAGATGTGTCACTGTTGGAGAGAGGAGTTACAGATACACGGGGGGAAAGAACCAAGTTGGATTGTGTGGAACCGGAATTATCACTGTGAAGTCATGGCTCTCCACACCGATATGGAAACAATAAAGACACGAACATGTATCTATGTGTATCTGTATATACATACACACCTTTCCTCACCCTGTCCACCGACAAGGCCCAGGAGGAGTGAGCACTCCCAATGCCCACATACTGGTTTCTAAGTATCATAAGGGCTGATTCCAGACCAAGGCAAGGTAAGGACAAAATGACCTTGGAAAAGCTTGTCCTGGGGCGCCTGGCTGGCTCAGTTGGCAGACCAACCAACCATGTGACTCTTAATCTCAGGGTCGTGAGTTCACGCCCCATGTTGGGTGTAGAGCTTACTTGGGAAAAAAAATTGAAAGGAAAAAAAGAAAGAAAAGAAAAGCCTGTCCTACCAGAAAACACGGAAACTGCTCAATAATGGATGGGACACATAAGGACCGACGCCAGCCTGAAGAGGCTCCTGACTGCCAAATCAAAAATACTTGGAGCTTCAAAACAACGACCGGAACAGATTATAACCCACTATCTAAATAAGTAAACTAGAAGTTTAATGAGAAACAGGATAGTCATAGTTTCAAAGTATCTCCCCACAAATTTCTTATCAATTACAAATGTGGAAGAGAGAAACTCCACAGTGTGAAATTCAGGGAACATTAAAACCTTAGTCGAGAGATCAGAGTGAAAGCTGCCAGAGCGCGCGCAGAGTGGGATCTCTGTCGCATGGTGGGATGCGAGGAGAGGAGTCGGTGTCATTTCTGAGACAGTCTAGCCAAAAATGCAAACCTTGGACCTAATCATGAGGAGACACCAGACAAACCCAAATTGAGGTGAATTCCACAAAATAAATGGGTTGCAATCCCCACATGTGTCAAAGTCATGAGAGGGAAGGAAGGCTGAGGGGCTACTGCAGGCTGAAGGCAGCCTGTGGTTGGACTCCTCTGTACAAAGGACACCGATGGAACCGGCGGCAGGAGTTGGATGGGGCTGAGGATCAGACAGCAGTGAGGTATCAACGCTAACTTCCTGGTTTTGACTGCGGTTACCTACGGGGCGGAAAATTAATACCAAAGTGTTCTGCGGTGACAGGGCCTGACCAGGCTGGCAACTTACTCTACAAATGGTTCAGAGAAAAATATTCCTTGTGTCGCGCTTCCAACTTTTTGGTAAGTTTGTGACTGTTTCAAAATTTTAAAATAAATTTTTTTAATGAAAAATCAAAAAAGAGAAATGTCCACCCAGGACTTTTCAGAAACCTAGCCACGGAGCTCAGTGAAGTACAAACGCAGAGGCCAGACAACCAGACGACCGCTGTGCTGCAGTCTTGGAGCTCCGGTGAGAACGAATTTGAGAAGAGCAGGTGTGTGTGTGCACGCACGTGTCTGCCCCAAGCTAGTCACAGGCACAGAACCCCTCCAGGGACCACGGTACCTGGTAGTCGGGGCCGGACGCCCAGCTGTGAAGTTTCCTGGAAGGTGGCTGAGGTTCTGGCACTTTCCGGACGACACGGGTCACACCCACTGCTTCACCCCAGTCCTTTCCTTCCTCTTGGGGACGCTTGGCATCGGCACTGTCCACGGAGCTCATCGACAACTGTCGCTGCCGTCTGGGGTCCCAACTGCTCCTGGGACAGACCGCAGCAAGCGTGAGTTTTCCCATCAGCCCAAGCACGGTTCGGTCTTACCCGTCAGAGGGCCTCAGGAATCCCCAAGTCAGCTGTCCATACAACAATGTCCTTCCCTGGAACAGACCTAGCCCGCCATGGGTGAGAGGACACGCCCAGAACACCAAAATCCAGCACCAATATTTACGTCACTCTTACACACAAAACTCCAGGTGGGACATTTCATATCCATTACTTGGTTTACGGGAAAATAAGTCCTTTCTCCCCCATTTTAAAGGGTTGGTAACAGAGTTTCAGAGAGCTTAGGGAGCCGTCTTCCCAGGAAGAGCGAACAGATTTGAACCTAGGATCCCAGATGAAGGTCCCTTCTCCTTAGACTATGGCTCCTTCCCTGTGTTTTGCATAAAGGAGGTGCTCAATCAATCTTCCTCAAAATAGCCAAAGTCGACTCACTGAATGATGCATAATACAGAGAGCAAGAGGAGGGAGCCAAGCAGATGCAGCACGGAGGAGGAGAAGGGGGGTTCCAAACGGAGGCTGGAAGGGAACGGAGATCTGGACAGTGCTCACCTTTACATGCTGCAGGGAAAACAAAGTATGTGCATTTACCAAGCACTGCTTTTGTGCAAAAGAAGCACCCAGCGCACATCAAGGAGTTCAGAGAAAAGCAGGGGTCGGGTGTGGCTGGTCTGTGTGTGTCTGCGTGTGTCCACGCACACAGGTGCGGGGGCGCAGAGGGAAGATGAGGCTCTCACTTTGAGAGGCGCCAAGACCACGCGAGGCTCCTGACACACCAGGAAAGATGACGAAGGCACAGTGTGGAGGAAGGACGTGAGCCGGCTAACCTCTGAATGGTCCAGAAAGGAAAGGATGTGGTCCCAGGGGCCCAGAGACAATGAACAGGAAGGGATGGAGTCCAGGGAACTGTCGGGAACCCATCATGGATGGGGAAACAAAGAAGATTTAAGGAAGACACGGGAGCTTGGAGGAGGAGACTCACAACCAACTCAGAGAACACGGAGAAAAGAGCAGGTTCAGGGAGGGGATGGCCTGGGGACTCAATCTGAGATGTCCTTGGTCATAGCCAGCAGCGAAGCTGGGTCCAAACCCATGCTTAACCCTTTCAGTTGAATATTCCATTCACGTCAACTGAAAGAGACGAGGAATAGAGTATCCTATTGCTCTGTAAGTCTGTAAAACTGTATGTCTTTGCCTTTGATTTAAATTCTTGCTCACAATTCCTTCTGGGCTGAGTGTTCCAAGAACTGACCCATAGATACTTCCCAAGTGCATTCAAAGCTTCAGTTAAAATCAAACAGCATTTAAAGAAACTAGAGAAGCCTCAATTAGTTAACTGTGTATCAGAGAAAAAGTCGCTGAAGGTCACTACCCACTCCCTCTAGAAGAAGGACTTTGAAGTAAATAACATGGAATAACAAAGAAAAAGACTTGCAGACTCAACTATGTACACATTCAGTTATTGACAAAACTGACAAAAAGAAAAACATCAAAGCATTAATATTTAAATGATATAAAACACTAATCCCGTTTTAAAGGTGATATAGTAAGTCTAATAAATACATATACAAAGGAAATAGGCAATCCCACACAAAGGAAAGCATTCGTATTTGCTGGTATTCAAAAATAAAATTAAATTAAATTGAAAAGCAAATTAAAGCAGCCGTAAGTACTACTTAGAAAATACTAGCCAGGGGCACCTGGGTGGCTCAGTTGGTTAAGCGTCTTCCTTCAGCTCGGGTCATGATCCCAGGGTCCTGAGAATGAGGCCCAAGTCAGGCTCCATGATCAGCCAGGAGCCTGCTTCACCTTCTCCCTCTGCCCTTCTCCTGCTTGTGTTCTCTCTCTCTTCCTCTCTCTAATAAATAAATAAAATCT